TCCTTGGGAGTGTGATGCAATGGTGGAGATTCATGGACATTCGTTAGGTACTTTGAGCGTGATGAGCGTGACCCGTGACTCCATGCCGTGACCGATTGACGAGCTGAAGCACGCCCCCGATGACCACTATACGTTTTACAACACGTTTTCCTATACGTCCCTACCCTACCACGGCCCGTCATGGCCCAGCTGCTCTACACTCCCAACACAAAGAACTGAGCCACCCGAATTATCGATCAGATCTATCTATCTGCGGGATTGTGGTACCGAAACTACCGCAGTCCGAACGCGTCTTGCACATTTGTAAGCTTGCCGTATAAGCTTTCGCTGTCATCTCCGTACGACATCATCAATCTGCGGCATTGTCGTACCGATTTGCCGCCCGTACGCGTCTTCCACATTTATTTGTAAAGATGGCCATAAAAGTACACGCTCTTCGACGTTTGTATGTAGCTTGCTGTCTTCTACGCGTACCTCGGGTGTAGTCTAGAGGAGTGTGCCCTCTTGTAGAGGGTGCACACCATTCAAACAAGTACCATGTTCGTCGAAGAATATCTTTTCCAAACAACAATTACAGTACGGCTTCGTTCCTCTCCTTTCAAACCTCAACCCGCACAAATTTGCCATCGCCATGCAACCTACGAGCGCAGCGGCGACCCCCGATAGCGGTCGTCCGCGAAGCGCCCTTGTATTGACTACAACTACTACTGCTCCTCGCACTTCGTGGTTCATTGTAGCAAGTCGGGATCGGCAGGCGAGAGTACACCGAACAAATCAAATGCCGACCAACGACCAACGCCCTACACGTGCAAATGTACATGCGTAGAAATGCCATACCTTCCGCACGCTGCACAATGAAGCTCGGTACACTGCTTCCACTTTGCTGTACCGGCAGTGCTTGCCGTTCCGGAGATGGTCGCTTTGTCCAGCGGCCGCGGCAGGCGGCAAGCGGCAGTCTACATATGCGTTGTAGCACGGCGGTACCCTTAGCAGCAGCAGGTACTTGCGGCACAAGCAAGCACCCAGCAGATGACGGAGGAAGAAATTCGCTTACTTCCTTCCCCTCCACTCCTCCAAAAATCCAAAAAGACCCCATTGCGGTCGTCCTGCTACGGGTGACTGCTGTGCGCATCATGCAATGCACGCTGTGTGTGTGTGCTACAGCGGTACTGTCATGCGTTGGCCAATGAGAATAAGGCGCCCAAACCGCATAAATATGCTGATGGATTTGATGGATCGATATAGACGGCGTTGCCAGTTGAGTGCACTAGACCACGCTGTGCTGCTGCTGCTGCTACTGCTGCTCCTGCGAATAAGGTTAGAGTTATGCAGTATACACGAACCATCACGGGACATACGCGACATAATCAACCAGGCTGCGTGTTGTCAACTACTACTTGTTGTTCATGCGGGTGGACATTTTCCACGAGATTCCACCCTCGACATGAAGTTATGGAATTATTGCCTCCGGTACAACATAGTTTTTGCCCTACGTACGGGTGCTGTGCCGGCAATACTACAGCAGTAGTTTCCCCGCGACACAGAAGCAGACCACGTACAGCAGTATTGCAGTACTCTCTTCATGTATTTGCCCAAACGTACAAACTACATGCAGAGAGAGGTGGACTCACAAAATAGGTACAACAGCGCCGTGGCACCAGCATGATTTGATATGTATGTTTGCTACAGAGTCAAGGGAATACATGTGGGTGCAGCAGCTTGTACCATGAATACCACCCGGTACACATGCTTCAACTTGCAGTGCGAGACAAAGAGTTGGGGTGGCGGGGGTGCGAGCGAGTGCGGCGAGACAACAGAGAGGGGACGAGAGCGAGACACACACACACACACACACACCAGGCGGCGTAGACAGAAAACAAGCTTCTCACACACCTCGAGGCCCGGGACATGATGGCTTCTCCTTTCAACAACCTGGCTGGCGCTAGCCAGCAAGTAGGACATGCTCTCGGCATCGTGTTGCTTCGCGCTTCGCCTTGGCCCGAGGTGTTGCCTGGCGCCGAGCAGGGAAAACTGAATGCGGCTGGACCTACAGCAGCGCCATTAACCTCTTCTGAGTCCAGCCGGGATTTGCCCTTGGTGACCACCAACCCTATCTATGTTGGGCCCTACCATGGTATCGCGCTTGTGGGGTCGTTGTGTGTGGAGTGCGGGATGTGGTTTAAGGGGTATGCCCTCTCGCCATCACACGCGGCGAGATTTATTTGGAAAGTTGCCTTGCAGCGTGTAAAAAAATGAAGATGTTGGTTCCAGATATTTATATTTGGACCCGAATTTCCAGACATTATGGGAATTTTGGACCAAAAATTGGATGTGTAGTCTAAAATTGGCTACGCCACAAAAATTTCGTTTTCGCCGCAGCACCAGGTTCGGCATCATACGCCAACACACGACTAACTGCTGTAGGTCCCACTACTACGTATTGGAGCCCACTACGCCGTGGCGCCGTCACACATTGCGGGATTTTTTTCCTCTGTTGGATTGATGATCGGTTCCGACAATTTCTCCCAAATACATTGACACTCTGTGCCTGTGTCGTACATTTTTTTTTTTTCTCGTTTTTTTTATTTTGACCTGCACACAGCTTGCCGTGTGAGCACACTGCCACATGCAATTCCTCCTTGGAACTTTACTGGTGAACCCCGCTTGCCTATCTACGTGTCATTTGCTCGATCTGGCCATACCCTGGCGCTGTGTCATCTCCACCTTTCAGGGTGCCATCTCATAGTTTATTGCGGATGTTCCATGCTCACGTCCCACACGATTTTTTCCGTTGACGTCGGATTCATCAAAGCCTGCACGGATGTGATTCATCACCAGCCTGCAGCAGCAGGTGTAACACCCCTAATACTGCCCGGGCTTCCCTCACCTACCTGTGGCTGCTCATGAACTACTGCTGTATACCCCTACCACACCAGTTCCCGACCAAAGCCACACGCGGGGGGAGGTCTAGTGTATGTACACACGGCTGATGTCGTTGTGCGTGGATCAGCATCCCGAGGAAAAAATCTGTTGTTGTTCTGTTTCAGCACCACACCCGGCACAGCTGTTGTTATTGTTGCGCCGCCTCCTGCTCTCTGGTGTAACCACACTTCATACACACGCTTTCACCTTACACAACCGGCAGACTGCTGGGTCATCTCACCATGCGGCTGAGATTTTTCTGCGGTTTTGCTGTCCGGTCTCGATCGCCGGGGAGCAACCTTTCTCCCATGGATATCGGAGATTCGTGTGCGTGCCACTTCCCGCGCGGCTTCACGCCCGTTCTCCACTGCTGCTGCTTCTGTTGTCTTGATTTTACAGTTCATTAGCACGACATTGTGGTGTGCTTTTGTATGGAACTTGACTGCCCCCACATTGATTTGTATGTTCGCTGTTTATGCGTGTACTTCAAACCGTCCATAAGACGCACACCATCGTTTAGGTGTGTTTAACGCATCTACCTGTTTGTGGTTACTCCTATCCTCCACCGGTCAAAATGGTTGCGTGTGCGGACACACGTACGTACGTCAGCGCAGGGCAAAAAACAAATTCAGACGTACGTCAGCGCCAATTGGCACTCTACCATGCTGTACACGCCCACAGCAGAGCCACCCCTCAAAGATGAAGCACTGCGGCTGTAGATATCTCCAATAGCTAGCGATGGGCCCAAAGTAGGATGAAGTTCCATACACCACAGCGCTAGAACTCAACAGTGAAAGATCTCAGCTCGGTCCAAAAAAATTTGGAAAAGCGCACCACCAGGCCGTATGGACGCGGCGGAACCTCTCCCGAGCCCACGGCACGTACCTTGCGAACACGAGAACGCGCTGAAATTGTTGCCAATTGGCACGAAAATTGGCACGAAAGCATACTGCTGTATGGAGAGATGGAGAGTAGGATGCTAAATGCTGGCAGTGATATGTACCAAGTAGCCGGCGGGAGGGACGGATTTGGTCGAAAAACGGCTTCCACATACATGCAGGCTTCATGCTTACGTGTCTCACGACTGTTGTTGACAACGGGATGCCTCGCATTTTGTAGCTGTCTCTTTTGAGGTTGTCCAGCACCTTGAATTACGTTTCTTCATGCAGTACAACCCGAGTACGCGTTTTCCCGGGCTGTCCACGGAGAGCGTAACGTACGTGTGAACAGGATAGGGTGGAACGAGAACTTCACCGCCGCGCAAGTACACGTACGACGTTACCGTAGAAGAAAGGCCATACTTTGTCCAACGCTTTCATTTGAGTTGGTTCGAGCAATATTCCACGCTGTGTACAAGCAAGACTGCTTCTAACGTCGGCCCAATGGTAAGTAAGGGTTATTGTTAACGCAACGAAAAAAAAACGCTTTTTTCCACGGAACGGTGAAAAGAAGATCCGATTATTTTTCGCTTGTTCCAAGGGTACTCGTAGAAAAAAATTCAAGACACATAGCCCCCCCCCCCCCCCCCCCCCGGGGGGGGGAAAAATTCAAAAAGTTCCCGGAAACCCCCAAAAATTTCCCTGAATTTGCCTTAAGGAAAGGTAAAAGGGAGGGAAAAATGGCCCCCTGTTCTTTCCCCCTTCCCATCTTGTCCGCCTTCCAAGGGCCCCCCTGGCCCCCCCCCCCTGGCAAAAGAAAACACCCCCCTTCCAAAAACCCGGATTTT